CACATTATAATTTACAAATGTTCTACTTTTTACATTACTAACATTCTTTTTATTATTTGGAATGATTTAGATTTCTTTAATTGGAATAAAGTTAGGATGAAATACTGTGACACATCATCGTTTACCGGTAATTCTCAAAAGAAGCACAATGTAAATAAACTATAATTAATAATTTTTCTAAATCCAAATAAATTTCATTTTATAACTATTGTCCGGGATGAAAATTGACTTTGTATTTCTTATCAACTTTTTGTAGGGTACTATCTATTTTAGAGGTGCTAAGATCTACAAATCTATTATAAATGAGTTGATAAAGAGAGGGCTAAAATCTATATAAAAAAAAAAAGATAATTAAGCATTATATAATTAATTAGTTACAATAAAAACATTATAAGTTTCTTTATTTAATGGGTCTAATAACTTTTATTATTGTTAGATTAAGGAATGTCAATTCACTAATATTTTCCACTTTCATAGTCTTCTAAATGTATTTAGTATTCTTATATATCATATATAAAAAAATTTATTTTAGCCTCTTTTAGTCGGGGAATCGGCAGGAAGAGTTGCTACAACGATCCATTGTGATAGATTCCGAGATATAATTTCTAACTCCGCTCATGTCAAGTGTCTTTCTGATGCTGGATTCTTTTTCCCAGCGTAAGTGTGTATTCAATCTTTTCCTATATGTCTTAAATTATTCTACTAAAATTTAATTGATGTAAATTTTCAATTCCTAACAGAAAAAAACACAACCTCAGACATAGAAGTGCACTGATATCAATTTTTGAACGATTGATCACTCTACACGTATAAATTAATCTCTAAATATTTATAACTAACTTTTATATTTGTAAATTATATATTATTCAAAGTGTTTCTGTGGATCAGAAATCAACCAAGATGGTGCCAAAATCTTGCGCTTCCCAATTAAATCCAACCATGGTAATTTATTATATATCATTTTATATTATATTATATATTAATTAGTAAATTAATCATGTATTATACATTATTGCATTTAACTAATATATAGTACATAATATATATTTAGTTTCTGACTTTTTACATTGCTTCTTCGCACAGAATGTGCAACAATATATTAAAACTCCAATTTTCTTCATTATGTCAAAATTTGATACGTTTCAGGTTTGACACTTTTTTCTTGTTTTTAAAACATATAGAATAGCATTTGTTGTTTAGACTTATTGTAATTTTTATATAATTTAGATTGGGTTTACTGTTGAAACGATCGATCCTTATACTACTTGCTTAAAATATAAAAACTGTACATCTAACCAAATTATCTTCATACAAGATAGGTTTTTTCACTAATTGCAATGCAACGTAACCTAAATTTAATTAATTAAAAGATTTACACAATTAATTTAAGTTCTCATACATGAATTTTCATATTTGTTAAATTATGTTAGATTTAAGGTTGGAGCTCTTGGATGTATTACCTAAAAGAAAATAACATCTTATCAAGAGGACTATTGATTGTCTCTAGATTTAGTCATGGGTATACCATAACATTTCTTTGGTATCAACCTACTGGTCAGATCAATGAGATAGATAACCAAATCTAGAGACGATCAATGTATATCTACGTCATTGGTCTGACCAGTAGGTTGATACCAAAGAAATGTTGTGGTATGCCCATGACCAAATCTAGAAACGATCAATAACCCTCTTAATGAGATGTTATTTTCTTTAGGTAATACATCCCAGAACTCCAACCTTAAATCTAACATATAATGTAACAAATGTGAAAAATGCATGCATGAAAACTTAAAATAATTATGAAAATCTTTTGATTAATTAAATTTAAATTACGTTGCAATGTAATTAAGAAAAAAAACCTACGTTGCATTACATTAATTTGGTTGGATGTATAATTTTTGTATTTTACACAAGTAGTATAAGGATCCATCATTCCAATAGTAAAATCAACCTAAATTATATATAAACTACAATAATCCTTAACAATAAATGCTATTATATATGTATTAAAAACAAGGAAAAGTGTCAAACCTAAAACATGTCAATTCCGACATAATGAAAAAAATTGAAATTTTAATATATTGTTGCAGATTCTGTGCGAAGAAGCAACATAAAAAAAGTTAGAAACCAAATATATATTATGTACTATATATTAGTTATAGAGGCAATAATATATAATATATGATTAATTTAATAATTAATATATAATATAATATAGAATGGTATATATTAAATTACTATGATTAGATTTACTTGGGAAGCACAAAATTTTGGCACCATCTTGAATGATTTTTGAATTCTGATCCACAAAAACACTTTGAATAATATATAATTTACAAATTAACAAATGTATAAGTTAGTTGTAAATATTGAGATATAAATTTATAAGTGAACAATCCTTCAAAAATTGATATCAATGCACTTCTATGTCAAAGATTGTGTTTTTTCTTGTTAGGAATTTAAAATCTACATCAATTAAATTTCAGTAGAATAATTTGGGGCATATAAGACAAGATTGAATACACACGTTGAGAAAAAAAAAAAACTCAACATCAAAAAAACAATTGACATGAGCTGAGCTAGAAAATAAATCTCAAAATCTATCACAATGGATAGTAGTAACAACTCCTCTTGTTGATTCCCCAACTAAAAGGGCATAAAATATAAAATTTTATATAAACGTATATAGTTAAAAGACCATGAAAACGGCAAACATTAATGAGTTAGCATTCCTTAATCTACCAATATAATAATGAAAGTAATTAGACCCATTAAATAAAGAAGCTAAGAATAATTTTATTATAACTAATTTATTAAATATTACTTAATTACCTTTTTTGTGCTAAGGACCTTGGGACACCAAGTTGCTCTCTTATGTGGGGTTGTGAGTTTGAGCATCAGTGAACGTAATACTTACTCATGTTGCTTCATTTGGTCGAAAAATTAGTCATGGATAAATATTGCATTGTAATATAGTTAGTAGTATTTTAAAAAAATAATAATAATAACCTTTTTGCAGATTTTTTATCCCTCTCTTTTTCATCTCATTTATAGTAGATTCGTAGATCTTAACACCTCTAAAATAAAAAAAAAAATAGTACCCTACAAAAATTTGATAAGAAATACAAAGCAAATTTTCATCTCAAACGTTAGTTAGCCTACGAATGGGATGAATAAAACGGATTTAATTTCAATTTAGAAAAAAATATTAATTATAACTAAATTTATTACTTACATTGTGTTTTTTTGAAAATTACCGGTAAACAATGATCATAACAGTATCTTATCATAACTTTATTCGAATTGAAGAAATCTAAACCATTCCAAATAATAAAAGATGTTAGTATTGTAAAAATTAGAACATTGGTAAATTATAATGATATATATATATATATATATATATATATATATATATATATATATATATATATATATATATATATATATATATATTACCATGGTTTTGTTCAAAATTGTAACTCAATATTCCAAAAAATGGTTTGAGGCGGCTGTTTTATTAATTTTAAGCTGTTTAATATAAGTAATGCACCCTTCGAAGGTTGCACATTATCCTCCCCTCCTTTAATTCATTAATCTATTAGCTAGGGAATAATGATATATATATATATATATATATATATATATATATATATATATATATATTATGAACTTACCTCAAGGTAAACAAGCCAATTCTCATAACCTTCATCTACTTCGAGGACAAAGTAATAAGCTACCCAAATTCCCGACAAGCATACTACATACATACATAAGAAAAAATATATATATTTTTGATCAGATTAGTAAAAAAATAAAAATAAATAAATAAATAAATAAATAAAAAGAAAGGGACATTATATTATTGTCCAGGAAGAAAGAAAAGTTAAAGTTATTTACGACCTCGTTTGTCGGGAACCAGGGTGGGGTTCACCATCATGTCCGGATCGGTGAACCCAGAAGAAGCAAGAAGAATCCAGGTGAAGCTTTTCAGGGATGTCTGTTCTCTAAGGATGACGAATGGGAATTGAACAATGTCCGGCTAAACATAAGTGCATAAGAGTATTAGAAAACTTGGTCTCAAGACTTAAAAAGAGAGCTGCATTATCAAAACAATAAGGAAAAGTAAAGTAACCTACAAATGTAATCAAGTGAATGGATTATGTGTTACTTGATTGGATACAATAGAATGATCCTCGATATAGGAAGTAGTGTAATGCATTGCTAATGATTCTTGAAAAATGTTTCAATTGCAAGAAGATGTTTCAATTGCAAAAGAGACTCTCGTGGTCTATATGACATCCTATCAAGTTAACTTACATTAACAACCTCAATGAATCAAAATAGAGCTAATTCTCTCTAGTCCTTGCTACTTAATTACCTTTTTCAGGAGTAAATTTGGAGGTGCAAAATTTGGGCAACATCTTGGTAGGCCTCTTATCCACGCAAACACAGGTTGATAAATAGTAATTTAATTTAAAAATAGAAAAATTTACACTTTTCAGTCTCTACACTACAACAATTGAGACATTTAATCACAAATCTAAAAATACCTCACAAACCTCTTCTTCTCTAAATTCAATTATATGATTGAAACTTAAAATCAAATTAATCGAATGATTACCCTAATCACATTATCCTATTTTTTGTACATTAAGAGTCATCGCCTGTAGTACAATTTTTGTATAAGATAGTTGTATCAAACCATAATTTTATACCTTTATATATATACACGCACGCACATTGTGATCCAAGTCAATTACTTTACTTGATAAAGCTAAACTAATAATGCACCGTAAGCTTAGCTTTTGCATCGGATTTATATATAGCAAACGACTTAAATGTATACAAGCACATAACCACATATATACCCATACCAATTTTCCATTTTAACTAACCAAAACATATACTTCGAAAATAAAATACAATATAAAAGACCAAACCACTAACTACGAAATAAATTAGGACAATAAAAGATGGAATTATTTGTATTTTACCTTTGTGTTCAATCCAGTTCCAACAGCAGTAGCTCCTTGTGCAAGCTGCTCAAATGACAATCCAACCAGTTAAAGTCAAAGTGAACTATAAATCATTTAGGGAATTAAGATGGGGCAAAAGTGGGGAAGACAAAAGGTACAATGACAACCTGATACATGCGTGGAAGGGTGACAGATACTCTATCAATTCCATATTTCACCTATCATCACAATAAATTTTTCAAAAATAATCAGATAATAATTTTTCAGAACCCAAACATTACAACTTGAACATTTAAAAATGTTGAAGGCAGAGACAACTTACTTGAGGGGGTTAGACCACCGGTAAACTGTCCGAAAGTCTATAAACAAAAAGAGGTGCAAATTGTTAGCATCAAAGACATATCATTAATTAATAATTTAATAGCCATAATAAGCACATTCAAACATCAAACTTAGACAATAAACCAAAAGTCTAAGTCTATAATTTTTGGAATCTTAAACATACACCATAACTTCCCAAATAATCTTAAGGTCCACTTCAAAATGGACTGAACGTTATGAGTCTTACTTTTATGTTTCACAAAATTGTCTTGAGCCTTACAAATCAAAATGGCTCAGGATCAATTTTGAAGAAACTAAAGACTCTATTAAATGCTAAAGAAATTTATTAAATAACAGTGCACCACAAGTTAAATGTTTTGTGCTAATAAACTCCTTAATATTGTTACAACATTTTCATAAATATGTTGCACAACCAACATGAATTTGTATGAACAAATACAAGATTAATACTTGTTGAATCTTTTGGACTTATTGTTTGACATACAATCCAATATGAGATGTATGAAGCCAATTAAATCCAAAATCTTTAGTGGAGTATCTTAATGATCCTTTTTTCTAAATGATCACTCCCACTTATTAAGATATTCTTTAGTAATGATCTTTTCTTAAATGACCACTCCCACTGATTGAGATATTCTTTAGCGAAATTAATTATATACATACTCATAATTCCCCACCATTAATTGGGCATACTAAATAATCGATTTTTGGTTCCAATTAAAGTCCAACTAAATAATGAAGAGATTAATTCCTCACTATAGTTGGACATACTGAAGTAATAAAATACACTTTCCAAAATCATTTTGGAATTTGGCTTGAAAGATACATTTTATTATTATTGTTGAAATCCAAAAGAGGTATATCATATCACATAACTTACCTTAGTTGATCCAAGTAACCAAGTAAGCTTCGTGAAAAAATTAATAAAAGTGGCTAAATTTTGAGAAGTGACTGAATACATGTTTTGCCAATGCAAACCATGAAACTTAGAATTATAATTGAACTAAATTTATAAATTCTAAAAAATTGTGATAAAATTATCTAATGGGTTGAGAAATTTATTGACATAAAACTTGCATGTGGGCTAAAGTTTTAATTCTATTGAATCCCATTAAAACCCTTATGATTTTATCTCAATTGCTAAATGGACAGAAGAACCTAGTGACATAAAACTTGTCTGTGGGCTAAAGTTTTACTCAATTAGATCCAACTGAAATTTTATGATGAAACAATTATCAAATGAGTTGAAGAATCGAAAGACATAAAACTTGCATGTAGGCTAAAGTTTTACTCAATAAGATTCATTACAACTATTATGATAAAAACTTAAAAAATCATGTTCCTTTCCTTAAGGTACTAATCAAATTACCATTGTAAAGGCAATATACCAACTATATTGCTTACTATATTATTAAAGGAATTAATATTATTATTAAGGCCCTGAAAACTATTAATAGATTAAAAATATAATCAACTTAAACAATAGTTGTAATTTTGAATGGCTAAAATAACAATTATAATCCTTAAATTATTAATGACTCATAAATAGGACCAAGACTATAATTATAGTACTTAATCACTCAAATTAGACTCATAAACCTCAATGGCCCAACTGAGTTATGACATGGATATAAAATGGTATAGTACTGAAATATATCCAAACTTAATATTATTACCAACAATGAATACCATTAACAAAATATGATAGTCAGTAATAAGACTTAATTAACATGTTTTGCATAATAATCAATATTATTACCATAATAAACATGTTATAAGTCAAAATAAAATAGATATAATTATCATTAAAATATCAATCAAATGGCAAGATCCATATTTTAATGACCCAAGATATGTCTCAAATAGCTTATTCAAAATAGGTTTTAAAGTCCTAAGTTAGGACTAAAATATGCTCAAAATTAAATGAGAAACCAAACAAGTTGTCTTAATAGACCATAATGTCAAATATTGACCTAAAGATCCTAAAATTGAATGACATTTAATATAGAGACTATGAGTTAATAATATGTTAATCCAACTTTAATGCATACTTTTATGAATGTACAATTATAATAAAATAATTTATGAATATATATAACATGCTTGGATTTGTACATATTAATATATATCAACTCATAAATCCTAAATAAATTGCAATACTCCAGACAATTTAATATACATTTCAATATTAAATTAAAATTCAAATAGTAAATTTAAAACTTAATATTTGCTCAAAATTAAATAATAATTTAATTATGAATTTAATGTCAAAATTAAGAAAAAACTAAAGAGCATTAATTTTTCAAATTAAACAATTACTATACATTTACCATTTGCCAAAACAGTATATAATATTTAAAGATAATATTTATATAGTAATATTAAACTAAATAATTTACCATTTACCAAAATTAATATATATATTATTATATAATGCAACTAGAATATATGGTAAAGTAACTATATTTGTAAATTGCTTCTTTAATAGGAAATGTACCAAAGTCCAAAGCAGTACTCCTTCGTGACTTCTTCCAACGCAACGCCACCGCCGACAGCCTTACGGAGAGGAGAAACGCGCCATTACGCCGCCTAAAGGAGAGGGACCAGCTTCACTACCGCCGTTTCTCCTCTTCGCAACCCTATCGTCCGTCGCCGTCCTCACCGCGACGCCACCGGATCCCTTTCGTCGTCAACTGGAGCCAGGGTAGTAGCGACAAGCCATCGCCGGACGAGACGAACCTGAACGGGAAAGAGAGAGAATAGCGATGGTCGCCGGGAAGCCAGCCCGGCCCACTCCACCGTCTCGCTTCACTGCGCGTCGCCGCCATCTCTCGTAGCAACGCCAGCCACCGCCGGCGATTCAACGACGACCACGATCCAGTTATGCCGGAAAAAACAAATTTAATTAAATCCGGCGTAAGACAAAAAAAAAAAAAACACGCAAAATTTCTTAAAAAGAACATGTACACAAACTTATATATATATATAGACGCATGCATTAATTAGTGTAGGTGATTATACATAAATTTTAGTTAGTGAAATAATAAAGGAAGATTGATGTTGCTTACAGAGAAAATCAGTGATTAAACGACCATCGGAGAAACGGTCGGAAGATCGGTGAAAGAAGTGGAGAAGTGTTGAATCAGTTCAAGAGAAGGCTAGGGAGGATTTAGAAGTAGAGAAGTGTAAAAGTTACGTTGAAGAGATCAGATGAAGAAATTGTGGAGAGAGGTGTTCGTATATATAATGGGATGGATGGGTATGGATGGATGGGAGCCAGCCAAGCTGTGGTGTTTGAGAATGATAGAGATTTATGTGTATATTTGCATCTAAAAATTAAATACATAAATACAACTGGTGATGGAGTGAATAAAATAATATCACCCGAATGAACTAAAATGGATATATTAAATGCTCATAAATATAAAGCTGCCATGCAAGTTTCCCATGTCCCTTCAAGAGGGAGAAGGGAAGGGATGGGTGAATTAAATGCACAATACTATCCTTGTTGGAAAAGGACTAATGAATGATGAGAGAAGAGAAAACAGATTGAAGAAGAAGATGGTATATTGAAGTTGACAAGTCAAGTTTATAGCTTTACACGTTAGCTTATAAACGGAAGATGAACGCATTGACCGAACGGTTATAGAGAGATTAAGAAAAGACAATAAAAGCCCTATGTTATTCTTGAGAGTTTTTATTTTCATCGTCCAACAATTCTAGAATTGATCATTTAATTTGGTTATTATTAAGGGCAAGCATATTTAGAGCAAATTCTTATACAATTTATTAAACATGGATTAGAAAAATTCCTTGATTCAACCTAATTCGCTAATAACAGATTTAACAGATTGAATACGAATCGAATGACAAATTTTAAATTATAAGATTAAAATAACAAAAAACAACTCAAATTTATTTAAAATTATTATCGATACTATTTAAATGTTCACCTAGCCATGTCAATAATTTCATAAATAACCATATATAAAAGCTATGTTATAGATAAGATAAAATAATAGGTAAAAGTGTAGCTCATAAAAGGAGTGGTTTTTTTTTTTTTTTTTTTTGAATAAGGTCCAAATTAGTCACTGAACATAACTTAAGAATACAAATAAGCCAGAGTGAAAAAAAAAAAAAAGTGCAATTTGGTCACTGAACACCCTAAATGTATGCAATTTCACTTGATAGCAGGTTACCATCTATTTTATCAGGTTGCCTGCTTACGTGGATGGTGAGTTGACATTTTTAATAATTTTCAATTATAAACTTTAAAAATAAAACTAAAAAAAATTATTAAAAAAAACGTCGGGTGGCCGCCCGGCCACCCCTTCCCCCTCCTTCGTCTCCGCCGGATACAAAGGACCTTTCTTCGTCTCCGGTTTGGAGACGAAGACAAATCTCTTCGTCTCTAAGCGGAGATGAAGGATGAGGGGGGCGGGAAGGGGGTGCCGCCAGCCACCCGACGTTTTTTTAAATTATTTTTATTTTTATTTTAAAAATTTATCATTAAAAATTATTAAAAATGTCAACTCATCATCCACGTAAAGCATGTAACCTGATGAAATGGATGACAACTTGCTATTATGTGAAATTGCATACGTTTGGAGTATTCAGTGATCAAATTGCACATTTTTTGGGTTCAGTGACCTAATTACATTTTTAAATTACGTTTAGTGGTCAATTTGGACTTTAATTCTTTTATTTATTATTATTATTTTTTTTGAGTGGGTAGCCATGTCAATAATTTCATAAATAATCATATTAAAGCTATGTTATATATAGAGGGTAAATTAATATGTAAAAGTGTAGCTGATAAGGATTGAGTAGTTGATAGCTTTATAAAAGATTAAGAAAATACATTATTTTTAATTCCTAAAAATAGATACAACATTACATGATGGTAGGCTAGCGTCATGCAAATTAAACCACCTTAATGAATTGACCGTAAGTTTCACACAAAAAATTCAAATATGAAGACAAAGAAACCAACAAATAACGATATTTAAAAAAAATTAATAATCAAAAATCAAAATTTTAGATCAATTGCCCTATTAATTATCAATTTCGTTGGATTTTGGATAAGCTCATTCTAGTTGGATGAGGAACTAAACCTTATGTGACAAAGTGGGATTAGGGAGAATTGAGGGCGAAAGACTACTCCGTAAGTACCATGTAGCATAAGCCGTGCATGTGCAAAAAAAGTTGAAAAGCAAACGATACATGTGCAGTTAAAAAAGATTATTTATGAGTTGCTTTCATGCATTTAATTCATACCACTTGACTTGGCATTTCACATGCATGGTTTGATGAGCAATATTTGCTCTTAATTTTTATTTTATGGATAATTAGGTAAACCCCTACTAGCCATAAGTCATTATTTGAAGGTGTACGTGCAGTAGGCAAAAATTCCGCTTTTAGTAATAACCTACGAATCACATAAGAAATATAAATCCAGTAACACTCGGAAGAGTTGCGTGAGGAGGAACCAATGCACGACTGGCTGATCTTGAATACGGACGCCTCCTTCGTTTCTTGCAATGAACCTACAGGTTGTGGGAGAGTTTTGAGAAACTACAAGGTGATTGGATAACGGGTTTCAGCTACATGCGGTCAAAATGGCGTCGTTTCTTTACATAAAGAAACGGCGCGTCGTTACTGTTAACAGAGTGCGCATTGTTTGGTGTGTTAATTACCAACTGAAACTACATTGTATCTAAACTGACACTACAGTGTATCTAAACCGACACTACCTCACGTATTATTTTATATATTATCAAATGAAATTGCAGTTATATCAAAATGATACTGTAGTTATGGTAAAATGAAACTGCAGTTTATATAAAATGAAACTGAATAACATTTCACATATTTAAGTGTATATTGTGCAATAAAGCTGTAATTATATCAAAATGATCATGTAGTTGTGTTTTAATGAAACTAAAGTATATATAAAATAAAATTAAATAACATTTTCACATATTTGAGTCTATAAATGTCGAATGAAACTGTAGTTATATCAAAATGGAACTGTAGTTGTGTTGAACTGAAACTGCAGTGTATACAAAATGAAACTGAATAACAGAGTTACTTTTTGCGGAACGGCACGAAACGGATGTCGTTTCTTTTCATTAAACAAAACGACGTCGTTTTGAAGCTCGGTGCATAATCGATTATGCACCGCGGTGCACGATATAATTTTCCCATTCCAGAGGTAACCTGCTATTAGGGGAAATTGCATACATTTAGAGTGTTTAGTGGCCAAATTACACTTTTTTTTTTTCGTTCAGTGATTTAATTACATTTTCATGTTACGTTTAGTGGCTAATTTGGACCTTATTATTATTTTTTTTTTAGTGGGTGGCCATGTCAATAATTTCATAAATAATCATATGAAAGCTATGTTATATATAGAGGGTAAATTAATATGTAAAGTGTACCTGATAAGGAGTGGGTAGTTGGTAGCTTTATAAAATATTAAGATTATGCATTAATTTTAATTCCTTCCAAATACGAATCGAATGACAATTTTTTTAAAAATTAAAAAAATAATATAAAATTTCAAACTAAAAAAAAAAACAACAACAACTAGAATCTATTTAAAATTATTTCCGATAGCATTTATTATATGTCAAAAAAGTAAAATGTTCAACCTTGATGGTGTGGTTGAGTGGAAGAGACTCATTCACCATTAACCAAATGTTAAAGGTTTGATCCTTGGCTTTGAGAGTAGAACAATCTAAATCTACCTACAATCTAGTGAGTGAATTAATCACTGTGTTTGATGGTGGAACCTCTGGGTTTGCCCCAAAAATTAATTTTAAATGTTCACTTACCCATGTCAATAATTTCATAAATAACCATATATGATTGAAATTTTAAATGTTGCTCATAAAAGGAGTGGGTAGTTTTTTTTTTTTTTTTTTTTTTTTTTTTTTTTTTTTTTTTTTTTGAGTACTAGTGGGTAGCCATGTCAATAATTTCATAAATAACCATATATGAAAGCTATGTTATAGATAAGGTAAATTAAAGGTAAAAGTGTAGCTCATAAAATTAAAGGAGTGGGTAGTTTTTTTTTTTTTTTTTTTTTTTTTTTTTTTTTTTTTTTTTTATAAATAAACATATAGCCTTATTAATAAACATTTTAAAGATATATATGGTTTTAATAATTTTATAACTTACATTTATCAATAAATTAAAGATAATATATAACTTATGTACATTAAAATTTATATATAAAGACAAAAAAAAATGACAAATAATGATATTTAATAAAATTAATAATCAAAAATCAAAATTTTAGATCAATTCTATATTTCTATTATTAATTATCAATTTCGTTGGATTTTTGATAATCTCATCCTAGTTGGATGAGGAATTACACCTTATGGGACAAAGTGGGATGAGGGGGAATTCTGGGCGAAGGTATGGTCGTAGCCTAGTAGGATCTTTTATTATTATTTTTGTTACTATTCCATCCTTAAATACTATGTAGCATATAGGCAGTGGATATATGCGTGCATGGGTTGCTTTCGTGCATTTAATTTACCCATGTTGTGCTTTTCAATTTCATTAATTACCATAAAGGCAGACACTCAATATATTGAACACCTAGCTAGCTAAAGAATACCACCTATTCGGATTATTACTATTATTATTATTAACTATTTATTTCAAAATTTAATTTTCTTCATAGTATCTTACATGAAATATTGTGTATTAAATTTATGATTAATGGCCAAACACAATAAAATCGAGGACATATGTAATCACATCTCAAAACTACGAGTATATATAATGTGATCATGACTAAATTCTCAAAATTAGAGAACATGATTGTGTACATGGGTAGGGTTGAGTTTACACCCTTGGTTCCTACTAACTAAAATATGATTCATTACTATATATGGTACTTTAAAATGATATTATATAAACTTAATGGTAGTGGTGAAGTGTCTCAATTTTTGGTTCGCTTTTTTTATGTTCGGTTTGATTTTGCTTTTGAAAAAAAAAAT